TGCCTCTGTGGCTGAGCTGCTCATGGTGTGGGTGGTCACCGGTGCACATATAGGGTCCCTGCAGCTGGGCTCAGGCTCTAGAGCAAAGTGGCTTCCTTCAGGCAGAGCCCATTCCACACCTGACCTGTCTGTGGTGTGCACGTGGCAGTGTGTATCTCACTAATCCATATCTTACACCTTTTTTTGGCATCTGCGCATCTCTGTGCAGCGGCAGGCTCTTACTGTGCGCTGGGGTAAGGGATGGTCCCTTCTTGCAGCAGGTTTGGAAGTGCCAGTTACTCCTCTCCATCTCCAGAGCTCTGTGCTGCTGGAGTGAGCTGGGGTTTTTTCTTTTCTTTTCTTTTTTTTTTTTTTTTTCCCCCCCTTTGCTTGCTAGTGGGTGGTGGTAACTGGAGGATGAGGGGCACGCAGGGAGGGTGCCAGGACTATGCTCAACTGCCGGCCCCTTACTTTCTAGCATCCTGTTCAACGTGGTCTATGGGTTGGGTTTGGGTTTTTTTTTTTCCCCTGTTAGCTTTTTGCCTCCTGGCTTAAGGAGAGGGAAGAAGCATTGTCTGCCCTTGTGCATCTGGCTTAAAGCTGCGCTGTGGCATTGGCGGGATGGGAATGTTGCTCGCACCAGAGAAATGGTAGGGATTTGTAAGGAGGGACGACTATGTGGGACCTACAGACAGAGGTCAGAAGCACCACGTTGTGCTGCAATAGCGCTTGAGGCTAACGAGCCGAGGAGCAGTGATCAACCAGCCTTGCCATTGTGTTCCTGTGCTCAGTAGAGGCAAAGAGGGTTTCTCAACAGCCCTGTTGTTGCTCCTCTCCTTTACCTCCTTTCTCTGCCCCAGCCTCACCATTCTTCTTGCAGCATTAACCCTGTGACAGGACGTGTCGAGGAGAAACTACCCAACCCCATGGAAGGGATGACGGAAGAGCAGAAGGAATACGAAGCCATGAAGTTAGTCAACATGTTTGACAAATTGTCCAGGTACTAGAAAATCGTGCATGTTCATGTCTGCCTTAGCACCTGCATGTCTGTGATTGGCCTTTTACCACAGGCCTTTCTTTGAACGTCTTCCCAAGGCCACCTGAAGGGATGCGAGAGACTGGGGAGATACATAGGGAAATACCTCCTTAAGCTGGGCTGCGTTATGTGCAGGGGAAGGCACTGCAAGCCCCACACACCTCTTCGGTGTGATGGCACGCTGCAAAATTCCTCTCTGTGCCCGTGCTGTGGTTCCAGGCACCTGCTGCATCCCCAGGCACCAAGTCCCTTTCCCTGCAGGAGTGCTTTCTCCAGTCAGCTTTCATCCGTCATTAATAGGTGCCACAGAGAAGAACCCAGAGTCTGCCAGCTGAGTTCAGGCCACCCCCAAGGGTGGGAGGGGAAAAGGGCAACACATTTACTGCGTTGTGTGTTAGAGGGAGAGGAACACTGATGCCAGCGCTAGTTTTCCTCTGGCAATCCTGTACCACATGGAACAGGGCCCTAAAATTGAGCCTATTCCAGGGAACCTGAGAATGGCAACACTTGTGGATTGCATCCAGCCATCGCCTCAGCATGCTGGGGGCTTTATGGCTAGAACTGTCCCCCGCTTCTAAAAAGGGACTCTTGAAGGTGGCCCAGGGTTGTTCTGGGCTGCCTCAGGGCAGTTGCCACAAGCCCCATGTTTCTGCTGTAGTGCTCATCTGTTCCTGCAGCGACTGCTGCAAATTTGTGTTGCCTTTCCCCCCCTCTCCCTGGCTGCAGAGAGCAAGTCATCCAGCCCATGGGCATCACGCCGAGCGGCAACCTGGCCCCCATGGAGAACGCCATCCATGATATGGCTGATGAGAGGTCGTCGTCCGACTCGGACCTGGGGCTGGACTGATCCAGACCTCTCGCCCCAGCCTTGGAGAGCTGGGGAGCCTCCGTCCGCTCTCCCTCCAGAACTGGTGCTGCACCCAGAGGCTAGTACTGGGCCAGGACTCTCCCTGTGGGATCTGGATCCAGCCTGGGCCCCTCAGTCCATAACAAGGAACACCACCTGCCTCCTTCCCAGCTCCATAACCACCTCTCCTTCCAGAGGATCTTTGTGGCCTGGCTCCGCTTTGGTCTCTCCTGTCAGCAGCCTTGAGGATTTCAGACTCCAAATTGCTTCCAGGACTTTCCAGTAGGATTTTTTTTTTTTTTTGATATGTGATGTTTGGGAAGAAGGGGGAGGGGGAGGATCTTTCTGTCACACCATCAGGGTTCAGTAATCTGCAGAGCATCTTGTACGTGTGCCGACACTCATGTGGCCGCTCATCATGGCTACGTGTAGCCGGCGCGATGTGGGGGAGCTGCTCCCTAGGAACACAGAGGGGAAGGCGGAATTGCAGGAGAGGGCTGCGAGCGAGTGGTTACTCGTGGCAGTCCTTGGGGAGCGGGCTGTCTCGGCACGGTGCATCCATTCCATCAGCAGGTAGCTGTACGTGCGCGTGCTATGTATGGCTGCGAGCGTGGCGGTGTCCGTGCAAAACCAGGAGCCTGTGGACTTCGGAGCGTGTACGTGAGTGCAGAGGGGAGCAGCGGCGCCTGCACTGCAGGGAGGTGGGCAGAGCCTTTATGTGAAGCTTCCAGCATTCCCATCGGCCACAGGAGAGAAACCTGCAGGTGACGGCCAGGAACGCTCTGATGCTCGGTCTTTGGCACTGCGCAATATTCCCATGCCCACGGAGTTTAGTTTTCGGCATGAGCCTTTCCCCACCTCGTGCTTTCCAAACGAAAAGGCCAAAACCTGTGCTTGTCTGCTGCCTCCTCGTCTGCCTTGGCTTTCCCACAGGCCCACTGCTGCTTGCTCCCAGGGGCTGGTGTTGGTCCTGTCCTTCGCTGTGGCTTAGATTTGTCTTTCCCCCTGCCCCCCCCTTGTTTTCTTTAAAAAGAAAAAAACCCCACAGGATTGTTTTAAAGAAAATCTTCTGTTTTGTCTCATGTACCAGAGTTCCAAAGCTTATTAGCACAAGTAGGAATGCAAAAGTGATGCTAGAATAAAGCAAACCTGGCAACTAGGCGCATGGCAGTGATTCGCCCAACGTGAAAGCTCTGAGCAAGTCAGGAAAAACCTTTGGTTTTTCTGACTGGCGCGTGGTTCTGTTCCGATCACCCTCAACTTTATTTACAGCTTTATTAGGGAGGTAAGATCGTAGCGTTAAGCTGGGGCTAAGCCAGAGCCTTTCCCTGCACTACGATCACCATGGGTAATGGAATAGGGCATGCCAAAGTTGAAGTAAGCACTGAAGCTTGAGGCTTGCAAACCAGTCTTCGCTCGGGCCTCGCCACACGCAGTTGTTTTTGCAGGTTTGAAGCTGTGCACACCAGCTCCGTTCCCTGCCTGTGCAGCAGGGATTTGCTGCTCAGCCGCTGCAGGATGCGAGCCAGTCTCGATGCTCATTTCGTCTGCTGGGACTTCTGCCCCCCTGCGAGGCAGCAAGCACAGCGGGGCTGGGGCTCGGCCTGGGGGGCAGGACAGGCTGGCTGGGCTGCATCCCATGATTAAGAATTTTTTTTTTTAGTCGTCGTGATTAAAGTTCCAGGGGCGTACGGGGTTTATGTAGAACTGACCAGCCAAGAGTCACGGGAAGGCTTCTGTCAGGAGAACAGCCTCAGGGTGTCGCAGCTGGAGCTCTTGGGCATCCCTCGCCTTTTTTTAAGTAACTAGCAAAAAAGCTCCCCCCCCCCCGCCCCCCCCGCCCCCAAACCGTCCGTGGGAAAATGCAGACCTCTGATCTCTTTCCAGCTGTCAAAGCTCTCCAAAGCTTTCCAGGCAAAAGGAAAAGTGTATTTTTAATTCAATGCTTCTGATATTGTGGAGTTCTGCTTTCCTCTCGTGCTTAAGCCCCTGACTTGCAACTGACAGGCCCTGCTTTGGAAAGCCCCAGTTGCAGGGGCTTAACCTGGCACAGGGTGCTTCTGGAGTAAGGGTTTATAAATGGGGTGCAGGTTAAAACCAACACGTGTCCGCCATTTCCAACATGAAGCAATGTGCCCCGAGGCTTCTGGTGCCCTGCACGGTGAGAGAAGAACCCTTCTGCTTTCCCTGAGGCTGCCGCTGGGCTGCCCCGGCGGCAAGGAGGAAGACGCGGAGACATTCAAGTTGTGCATTTGGGCGAAGGAGGCTGCTCCTCCAAAGGGGAACGCATTCCAGCCTTCCTTGGAGGAAGCAGCCAGACACCAGGCACTGAACTCCCCTCCTGTAGTGTTAGCAGTAGGTGTGCCAGGATTCTGCGGGGTCCCTAGGGCCGGTCCGACTTAGAGCAGACGAGTGTTGGGTCCAAACACTTCCAATTGTGTAGCCAGAGCACCAGAGGTCCATGTCCCGAGGCTCTCGTCTTGCCCTGGGGAAAGCGTGTTGGGTGTAGCAGTCGGTAACTGTTCCAGCTCTGCGGGGGGGGGAGGCACAGCTGCGGGCTCGAATGCTTTTATTCCCTTCACTTGGGTTTTCTGTGGTTTGGTATTAACCGTAATGAATCGGTGACGTAAAACGCTTTGCCTTTTGTTGTGCTTGCTTAGAGCTGGCACTGATGGGGGCTGCCTCTAGGACAGTTGCCGTGGTAGACAGCCAGGGCCACCTGGGTGTGACTTTGGTCCCCACAGCCACGTTTGGGTGCTGGGGTGATGAAATTCATGCCCCGTTGCAGGGAAGATGCAAAGTACATCTGGGAAAGAGCAGGATGTCACTGCAGGGCTCTGGCTGGTGCTGCCTCCCCCCGGGCCAGCATTTGCAGGGAGGAAAGGCACTTGTGTAAGGTTAGAAAGAAGAAAAAATAGAAAAAAAGCCAGTGAAAAGAGTGGTGGTGGTGGGGACAGGATGCGTTCAAACCCTAGGGAAGGTGTGAAGTTCACAGAAAAACCCTCAGGAGACATCGGCAAAAGAATTAGAACTCTTTTTATTATTAAATAATTAACATTACTGTGATTCAAAGCCCTTCCAGCA